GGTTTTTCAACTAATTGTGCCTTTGGGATGCAAAACTACATAATGTTAGACTTTGGATTTTGGAGGTAGAGGTGAATTCACAACCCAGATTCACTACTTCTTGGCAGTGTGACCTTGGACAAGCTGCCAACCTCTCTGAGGCTATTTCTTCATCTATAAAATGTGAACAACAATACCCATGTCACTGGGTTTTGGTGGATTAAATGTGATCATGCATGTAAAATGCCTAGCACTGTGCCTGTTAATGATCAAGTTAGTCCTTCTCAAATCTGAGTAACAAATTAGGTGCGTGTGTAGAACCTAGTTTTTTCTCTGATGTTGTCACAGCTAGCTTCTTTCCCCCTGTTTTATATTTTGCCAAGTCACTCCCCTGCCTATTTTAACTTGAGTTCCCCTTCTGATTCTCAGCATGCATTTTGAAAGCAGGGGTAAGTGCCCAAGATCCCTGCTTTACTTGCAGGGTGCAGGTACCATCCGGTGTGACTGGGGGAGGGGGCGGTAGGAAGATTAGCTCATCCGGTGCTCTCTGGCCAGGCTTGTGTGCTTACTCAGAGGTGTAGTGAGCAGCGGATGACAAAATCCGATTTTCTCCATGTCTTCCCACAATGCAGTCTTGTAACACTTAATTAATTGGCTTTGAATACAAAGCAGGGAGGAAATGATGCTATTTCATTGTTTAAAAGTGAAACCCTAAGCTTGCCTTGTGGCATCTTATTATTTCATCATGGGACCATGGAAAGTATTTTCATCTGAGCACATATCACCCTGTTCCATGACTGAAGCCACAGATTTCTCTATAAAGAGCCAGAAAGTAGATATTTTAGGCTTTGTGGGCCATAGAGTCTCAATTTAGCTCTGCTGTCGTAGTGCGAAAGCAGCCACAGACAGAACACAAACAAATGAGTGTGGCTGTGTTCCAGCAAAATCTTATTTACGCAAATAGGTGGCAGGCTGGCAGGCTGAATGGGCCTGTTGGCTTTTGTCTGCCAACCGCTGTTGTAGATGGAGAGGCAGCGAGAACAATGGTGAGGGCGTGAGCACTGGAGCTGGGTACGTGCGGACCCCAGCCCTGCTGTTTCCGGGCTTTGCACTTGGGCGAACCCCTTAGTAAGGGGCAAGAGTATCGGCTCATTGGGCTCTCATGAGTCCAGGAGATCGTGTCTCTGAAGAATGGGGCGCAGGGCTGGCACTTGGTGAATATCGGCTGCCCTTACTGGTTCTCCCTTGACTTGGCTAGTCCCCTGATTTTTTTTTTTTTTTGAGGGGGAGGGACTGTTGGGAATAATTTTAGGCACATTGAAGGCTAATGCTAATGGGAAGTTTATTTGCTTGTTTATGTTTCTAGCATGAAGTCTAAATGAAAAAAAAAAAAATGTGGCCTTCTCTAGCTGCTGAGAAGGTCATTGGTATTGCCCAGTGCTGTAGCTTTCACAGCTGAGTAGGTAAACAGTGCAGCTAAGTGGAACCAGTTGGACAAGTCAAGCCAAAAATAAAGATAAGGTTAAATATCGACTTCATTAGACTCAGCTTGCTTTTCAGCTTTTATAACAAAGACTAAGCTAGTTGGTGGGGAAGGGCATGGCCAGTAAATGCCACCTACTCAAGGACTTGCAGTTCATTCTTTAGCAAAGCTTTCTCAATCAGCCACCTGTTCTGTGCCTGGCAGGGCACTGGGCTCACTCTCCTCCTGCCAGAGCTCACAGTCTGGTAAAGGGGAGTAGAAGGATAATCCACACACAGGCAGAGGGCGACTGTGGCTGCTCACTCCCTAACCCAGCAATGCCCGATTTCGCCAGCATTCTTTGGTCTGTGTCCTGGCTCTGCCTTCTCCACCAAGATTCCCTCCCCCACCTCCCAGTCCTGGGCAGGTTCCACAGCCTCCTTACATTCTGAACTCATTTGTCCATTCATCCATTAACAAAGTATTTGTGTGTGTGTATTATGTGCCAGCAAGTAACACAAAGTCCCTGTTCTCATAGATCTTAAGGCTTAGTTGGAGAAATACAATTATTCATAAAATAATGCTATGGGGGTGAGCAATATTGCTCTATGACAGTTAATAATTTTTAAAAATGAACTAGACAAGAAGGATTCCCATGGGTGTATCGGTGTGTGTTTGTGCATATGTGGGTTATGTACACATATCTGGGAGCAAAATGTACATGCATACTGCTCCTTCTGTTCCATTTCTCTTCCTTGTCCATTCTGATTCCTTGATCAGTTCAATATGCCCAGCCTGACTTAAGTAGTAATTATGTGGAAAATATCAACATATAGGTACACACAAAAAATATAGTTAGGTTAAGAAAAAGTAGAGTCCCCTCTTTCTCCCCCTCCCCCACAACCCGGGGAAATACAGTTTTCATTTCAGCTTCATGTCACATGGTAAATTTTGTTGCAGTGTTTTCCCCTTTCCCTAAGAATTTCTCTTCTTCCATCCACTTTAAAAAAAGCATTTCAAACTTATTGTAAAGTTTGAAAGAATGAACATTCATATGCTCTTTACCTGAATTCACCAGTTGTTAACATTCTTTTTTATTTGCTTTCTTTTTCTCTTTTTATATATTTAATTTTTTATTTTGCTGAACTATTTGACAATAAATTGCAGACATCATGACACTTCACCCCTAAATATTTTATTATACACATTCTAAGAACATGCTAAATAGAAACTTCCTTTTCTAGCCATAAAACCATTACCATACTAAAGAAATTTAACACTGATACATCATAGTATCTAATATGTAGTATATATTCAAATTTCCTAATAGTCTCAAAAAAGTCCTTTTGACGGTTTCTTTTAAATCCATGATCCAATCAAGGATTGTGCTCTGCATTTAGTTCTCCTGTCTCCTGTCTCTAAATTCCTTAATCTAGAACTCTTTTCCTCTCCCCTTTCATAATATTAGCAGTTTTGAAGAATCAAGCCAGCTGTCTTATAGGATGTTCCAAATACAGAATTGTCCAATTGTTTGATTGCTATTAGATTCAGGTTAAACATGTTAGGGAGAATATGACTTAGGGCAGTTGTCGGCAAACTCATTAGTCAACAGAGCCAAATATCAACAGTACAACGATTGAAATTTCTTTTGAGAGCCAAATTTTTTAAACTTAAACTTCTTCTAACGCCACTTCTTCAAAATAGACTCGCCCAGGCAGTGGTATTTGAGTGTGAGAGCCACACTCAAGGGGCGAAAGAGCCGCATGTGGCTCGAGAGCTGCAGTTTGCTGACCATGGACTTAGGGAATACTGTGTCCTTCCCATTAAATCACAATCAGGAATATAATTTGTTTGTCCTACTATTGGTAGTGGTAACTTTGATCTCTTGTTAAAGGTGGTATTGGTCAGCTCTCCTCATTTGAGGCTCTCCTCCTCCACCCCATGTAATTAATCAATAATCTCCAAGGTGCTACTTTGATAATTGTGAATATATTTTGTTCCCCAACAACTCTTCACACAATGATTTCAGCATCCATGGATGACCTTTGCTGAATCAAATATCACACTGATGGTTGCAAGATGATGTTTTTCTAATTCTATCATTCTGCCTACTTTTATTAGCTGGCATTTTTCTGGGAAGAAGAGCCGTTCCCACATTTTTTGTTTGTTTTGTTTTTAGCATTCTTATGGACTCATGAATTCTTTCTTTATTCATTATCATCCATTTACTATCATTTGAACTAAGAATATTTTAAATTGAGGCATGATTTAAGCATAGTGAAATGTGTAGCATTAGTGTACAATTGATTAGTTTTGACAGATGCACATGTTTGTATAACTGCCACCTTGTCAAGATACAGGACAAATCTATCATTACAAAAAGTTTCCTTTGGCCTCTTCCCAGTCATCACCTTCACCTCATTCTTGCCCAAGCAGCACTGATCTGATTTCTTCATTTTTCTCTTTTATGTTTAAATTTTCCCAAATGTTGGCAGTGAAAACTGCATCTAGTTAGGCGCTGTCTATGTCTATCTGTCATGTCCCCCTTAACCTTCGATCACTTTCAACATGGTGTTTTGTTTTATTCTTTCTAACAGCTGAAAATACCCCATGACATGGTTACTAGTTTAATAATTTCTCCACTAATAAACATTGTGTTATTCCTTCTTTATCCTATTAAGAAAATGTGCAGCAAACATCTTGGAACACATTCTTGCACCACTTTTGTGTTTTTGTAGGCTAGAGCTTTATTTTTTTGGTCAAAGAATATGAACATTTAAAATTTTTGTTGATATTGCCAAATTCTTCTCTTCCTTTAAAAAGTCTTGTTAATTAAGTTTCCACAAATGGTTCTGGTTTCCCCACAGTCTTACCAACATTGATTTTTATCTGTCTGTGTGTTTATGGTGGTGCAGAGTTTGAATTTGGACTTCTCCTTGAATAAGGCAAACACCCAAACCATAGAGTCTCCTTCTTGGTTCCAAGTCTAGTTTTGATTTGTGTAGAAATGCAATCTCTCTTCAAAGGAGCGGTCAAACCAAAGGAGAAATGTTTGCTGTCCAGTGTCAGAAATTCTCTGTCATTCAATGTCACATTCACTATTACCACCAGCTTTTGGCAGAGGGTCTTCTTATTGTTTTTATTCTGTCTTAACCGAGGAGAGGTTAATGAGGGAGGGAGTGTGAGAATGGGGTGATGGATGACAATGCCTCCAGGGCTTTTGGTCCTCTTGCGTGATCTTTATAAAACTGTTCAGAGTGACTGCTTTTTATGTCTACTCTTAAATAATGATTGGAACTGATTTTTATTTTGCAGTGAACTTGATGATTCTACATTTGGGATAACAGTTTATAATAACTTATGTATGTATGTATGATCACTCTCTTACATCAGCTAATAAATAGAGACTTTCTATTTTTGTTTTATTTTAAATATTGAACTTTAAGTCAAACACATTTGTGGATGACTTTTAACTTTTTCCCCTTTTTTTCAGGTTGAGGAAGTTGTTTGAAAGCTATTATCTTTCTAGTAAAGTTATCTATGTTGACTTTCTTTATAGGTATTTGAAGCTGTAATTTCATGGATCAATTATGAGAAAGATACTCGTTTAGAGCACATGGCGAAGCTGATGGAACATGTCCGTCTCCCTCTTCTACCTAGAGATTACCTAGTCCAGGTGAGTCCTGTGTGAAGAATAAGCCTCTAGGGTTAGCATGGGTTACCCTGATTGGAGTGGTTGAGTTTTCTGTACTGGTTGAGGACATTAACCCATTGAGTTAAGTGTGAGGTGTGGTAGCATAAGAGTATTGGTTTGAAAATAAGACAATTAGGTTTCAGTCCCTGCTCTACTATATGTTAGCTTGGAGTTTTTATTTAACCTCTTAAAGTCTTTTTTAAAAAAAATATATTTTATTGATTTTGTACAGAGAGGAAGGGAGAGAGATAGTTAGAAACATCGATGAGAAAGAGTCATCGATCAGCTGCCTCTTGCACACCCCCCAACTGGGGATATGCCCGCAACCAAGGTACATGCCCTTGACTGGAATCGAACCTGGGACCTTTCAGTTCCCAAGCCGACGCTCTATCCATTGAGCCAAACCGGTTTCGGCACCTCTTAAAGTCTTGATTTCTTCTTCCATAGAAGGGAAATTATAACAAGAGCCAAAAGGGTTGTTGTGGGACCAAAGGAGTTGTAGATATGTAAGTTAGGTGGTTAGCAGGGAGCAGGGCCAAACAAATGTTCAATAAATTAGCCACTTTTATTGTAGAGGATCAATCAGAAGGGTCATTTCCATAACATTGTTTTGTTCCCTTTTGCCTTAGCTTTAGGCCTCTTGAGGCCCAATTTGGGATTGATAAATCAACTCTCACAGGTGCCTGCAATGCATATTGCGTCTACCTCCTCTGAAAACAGGGTGCCAAATGTTTTCTCATTTAATTCTTACAATAACCCCTGAGCAGAGATTATAACCCCCTTTGTTACAAAATCTGGCTCTAACGCACACACCTTGCACTAAGCAGACCACCACCTTTAATGCTCTCTATTCTGTTAATCTATTACATGACTTATTTTGTCCAGCAAATGACATTACATTCTCTTACAAGTAGAAGAGTTTAAAACTTAAATATATGAATGAAACGAAACTCCAAGGCATTAAGCCAGCCCTCAGCTATCCCTGACAAGTCTCTGGAAGGAATGGAAAGAGTGAAGGAAAGACAAGAGGATGCTCAGTAGCCCAGGAACCTAGCTCTATCAGTTCTCAGCTATCTCACGCCGGAGAAGTACTCAACTTTTCTCAACCTCAGTGTTCTCTCCTCTGGTAAAAATGGCAACCTGCCTGTGCAGGATTATTTGGGGTTTGAATGAGACCATCCATGTGAAGCCTGCGGCTGTGCTCAGTGAATCCAGCTGAAATATGTCCTCACAAATGTAAAGTCCTCAGCTCATGACACTGTAGTCGATAGGCCTCATAACAGGGAAATGCGGTCTGAACTCTTAACCTCAGCCCTCTTCTCAGGTGCTGAGCCCTGAATTTGCATGCTAAATGGTACCACTGCCATCTGGTGGCAGCATATCCTTCCAGTAGAAAAGGTCCCCTAATCAGAGGGACTGAACTGCCAGAGCTCGCAGTGTCAATCAAACCTCCCAGTGTCCTGTGGGAAACTTATCAAAGATAGAAATGGACATTTAGCCTCCAGCACAGTCTTGCTTCCATAGGGAGGAAGGACAGTCTGTGGACCTGGGTTCCAGAGAAAGCTCAAGGGGCCTTAGAGACCTCCTAGTCACATCCTCCAGCAAGTGTCCACAACCAACACTTAACAAAGACATTAAGACATACTGTAGTTCCCAGGATATTATGGCAGAGTAGGGTTCAGATCTGGAGAAGAAGCCGTCAGAGGCAATGAGAACTGTTGTGTAAGATCCCCTTTTACAAAGGGCTCTTTTCAGAACACCTCTGGAAGAAGAGGATATTTCAGTAACACTCATTTGACCTTGAAACTTCAAACTGGTATTTCCCACTGGGGATGGCTGATCGTTGAAGAGGAGGAGGAGGATGAGGAGGAGGAGAGGGAGGAGGAGGAGGAGGAGGAGGAGGAGGAGGAGGAGGAGGAGGAGGAGGAGGAGGAGGAGGAGGAGGAGGAGGAGGAGGAGGAGGAGGAGGAGGAGGAGGAGGGGAAAGGGAAAGCCCTGGGAAGACCTGCACCAACACTGTCGGACTTCTCTGGGAGGTGTTTCCTTGTTTGTTTGTTTTCAATAGGTAACATTTATTAGGCTTTCATTAAATATTTAAAAATATTGTTCTAAGTATGTAACATGCTATATCTCTAAAATAAGTTTTTATTGTGATTAAATATATAACATAAAATTCATCATTTTAACCATTTTAAGTAGATCATTTAGTGGTATAAATTTCATTCATCATGCCATACAACCATCAGCATATCCATTTCTACAACTTTTCCATCATCCAAAATTGAAACTGTGCCCATGAAGCACTAACTCTCTAGGGGAGCTTTTCATGCAAGCTGAATGAGTTCTTTGGGATAAATGCTTTTTATGCGTTTCTCTTTCCCCCCAAGGTTTTTTAGAGCTCCTCTCTCAACCTTTTACTTTTTTTAACTGACCCCAAAAGTTTATGATCTGTCTCAACCTGGTTCAGTCCCTCAGTGGGAGGGTGAAAAAAAACCTTCCCAGAAGACAGTGCTTTTGGAAGTATTCTTGGGATTCATCTCTGGGTAAGGAAGTTCCCAGATGTGACAGAGGCCCTGTCATACCCATCCTTCTTTCCCTGCCAGATCCAATGCTGCCCAGCAGGTGATGGCTCTGGCCACATTTCCACTCCTAGTTACAGGGACCTAGGAGAGGCTCAGCCGGGCCTTGTGCACGATCAGCTTGAGGTGAAGATAACTGAGGTGGGGAGGCCCTTCTCATTCTCCAACTGGCTTGAGCACCTCAGGGTCGGAAACCTTATGTTGTTCATTCTGGGGTTTATTGCTGGGCTGCCCAACTAGAATCGTTCAATCAGTTAGCTGTTGAATGGAATTAACCTATCCCAACAGATTCCAAGCACTTCAGCAAAAAAAAAAAAAAAAATTAAAAAAATGAAGTGGCCTCTAGAGACCACACTGCCCCTTTCAGATATGCCACATAGCAGTCTGATCTGGACCAAAATGGTAGAGGTTTGAAAGAGCACCAGGCTGATTGCATCCTTGGTCTTGCTCAGGAAACATTTAGGATTATTTTTGCTGGGCACCTGCTTAGGCCCATAACTCTTGAATCAGAGGCGAAGAAGCTATTATCCCAGCTTAGGTGAGGTCACTAGGTGGGACTTTTGTGCAGGACATTTTTTCTACTCATATCTCTGCTCCGTTAGAGGGTGTCTCATTGGCCAGTTTTATGCTTATGATTTCACTGAACACTATGGATATGAATTCTTCTTGATAGTAACATTATTTTATTTCATGATTCCATTGGCTGGTGGATCCCACCCTCTTCCTCTTCCTCAACTTTCCTCTTCTCAAATGTTTGACCATTTACCATAAACTTTGTGATACATTCAAACAAGGTGGAATGTGGAAAAAGGCTTTCAGGACAACTAATTGTCTTTGTTTTACATAGTCTCATTTTAAGCTTCAAAACAAACAAACGAAGACACAATTAGGTTGTGGATAATTTTAATATGCTGATTTTATAGATGAGAAAACAGGTTAAGAAAAATTAAGTGGTAGAGCTGGAATTTTTTATCCTTGTTGGTTTGATGCCTGAGTTGAATCACTTATTCCACAGTACTCTTGAAATGCAAGAGGTGACCACCAAGTTATAACTCTGTGGACCTATCTCTCGAGGTCTGAGATGCTGTTCTGTGAGAATGAATGAGTGTGGGAGTGCAGAATGACTCAGTCTGGAGTGACCACGTGGCAAATGTGGCCAGGCTCTGCTCCTGGATCACCTGTGCTTTATTACCTCTAGACAGTTGAAGAAGAAGCTTTGATAAAGAATAATAATACCTGTAAGGACTTCCTCATTGAAGCCATGAAATATCATCTGCTCCCTTTGGATCAGAGACTCTTGATTAAGAATCCCAGGACCAAGCCCAGGACTCCAGTCAGTTTACCCAAGGTAAGCCCCAGCCTCGTCACTGCCAAGAGTTGGGACTATGCCCAGGGAAGGTGGCCTTCTATTTTTTTTACAGAGAGAAAGGGAGAGAAACAGAGAGCTAGAAACATCGATGAGAGAGAAACATCAACCAGCTGCCTCCTGCCTGGGATGTGCCCACAACCAAGGTACATGCGCCTTGACTGGAATCGAACCTGGGACCTTTCAGCCTGCAGACTGATGCTCTATCCACTGAGCCAAACCGGTTTCAGCTTGCCTCCAAGTCTTTCCTCAGCCATGGCTGCCCTGCACCGTGGTTGTATTAGGATCAAAGAGATGGAGTCTGCTGGTTCCTCTTGAATCTGCTGGTACCTCTCTTTTTGGGGCTCTTCCTGTCTTAAGAGTTTCAAGGTAATCTCCAATGTCACCAGGACAATTGAGAATACCTCAAAGCCCTTCCCTCTACTCTTCTCTTGTTTCACACCACGGTTTGAGCTACATTGCTTTGGAAAGCAGAAGAACGTCTGTATTGGTTTTGACTTAGTGATGGCCATAGCAGTCCTCTTTCTAGGCCCTTTTTTGAGTCAGAACAATTCTAGTCTGGTTCCTTCCATTACCACAGAGCCATAAAGGACAGTTAGGACCAGAGGGGAGAAGCCACTTAAGAAGTCTGATAGGTAATGAAACAGGGAATAGAAATGGGAAATAAGACATTGTGAGGGGCAGGAGGGGGCAGCCAGAGGAAGGAAAGGGTGAGCATAGGAGGGGACCCCATGATCAAGAGTCTGGACAGGGTTCTAGATGCTTTGCCTCCCTGCAAGTCTCCTCCCTTCTCTAGTTCTCAGGGTCCTCATTTGCCTAACGAAAGATGATGCACTAGGTGGTCTCTAACATTCTTTCTGGCTTGGCATCGAGTAGCCTTCCTAGGATCCTAACATGGGCTGGCTGGAACCCATGGGCTGGAGGTCCCTTAGCATTTAGGAGATGTGTGCCTGTGGGGGAAGAGAGGGGAAAGAGCATGGTGTGGGCTACTCCCCAGCAGGAGAGAAGGAGCTGGGTCCTTTGTCTTGAGGCTTTTATCTCTCTCATGTAGGCAGGAGTGTTAGGGGAGGTTTCAGGGGAGGGCTTCAGCAGAATATTTATCAGTTTTTAGGTGTGTTCCCTTAGGGTCATGGTCTCCACTGATGGGTCAGGGTCAGGGCAGGGGGTCATTGGTCATTGCAGCTGGTCCTGGTGTCGCCCACCTGGTTTTGCTGCCTTTCTGGGTCTGGAGCTGAACTACAACTGAGGCCCAGATGTTCTCTCTAGGATAGCGGTGTCGAACTCAATCAGAGAAGGGGCCAAAATCTAAAATCCAGCCTAAATCGCGGGCCGAATGGTTTACTGAACAGTCATAAACTGTCATTGTGATGGAAACGCAGCGGAGTACAGTGATGACAGCGCGGTGCGGGCCACATTGCAAGGCCTGGCGGGACGGATTTGGCCCGCGGGCCTTGTGTTTGACACATGTGCTCTAGGAGGTGGCCTGCATCTGCTGTAGAGTGCTCTGCCAGCTTGTTCAGCTCTGTCTCAGCTTCCCTGTTCCCCTTGTCTGGCCCACTGGCCTGTCGCAAACAGCTAATACGGTGAAACCAGTGTTTGACTTGAGTCTTTCTCACCCTCCAAAGCTGTTCTCTGAACCCATGACAACCTGCACCTTGGATCACCATTGTAAACCTGAGATTATGTTTGTGCCTGTCTTCCTCCTGCTGTCTAGTGCTGGTTACAAGGGGCAGCCACAGGACAAGGACCTTGGTCTGAGTGACCACTTGCCTTACTGCATATTGACAATCTTTTGTTTTATTTTGTTGAAATTGGTCATTCAGGCTTCTTCAGATTTTTCAAAATGAAAATAACTTAGTTTTCTTTAATGATAGGAATATGTGCTCATTTTAGATTATTAAAAGGATACTGCGATTTTGAAATAAATTTTAAAAATCTCCTGAAAACCCTCCACTCAGAGGCAATCACTGTGATCATTTTGGTGAATTTTCTTTCAGACATATCTCTGTGCACTTATTACAAATAGATAAAATGTACACTTTTAGATAAATGGAATCTTGCTACATAGATTAAAATCTTTTTTCCTCCTACTCAACCATATTTTACAGACTGCTTTAAATGTCTTATCAGTAGAGGTAAAAATCAGCATTTAAATTGTGATAAGTATGTGGTATTTAATTTTATATATATATATATATATATATATATATATATATATATATACACACCATTATTTAACTGTCCTGTATTGATGGATTTGCAGATATTTCTATTTTTAAATGTTATAAACATTTCTGTGTCAAACATCTTTTAAAAGCTGGAATCTTGTTTTGGTTTGCATTTCTTTAATGGTAAGATTAATCTTGGTTGCATATGATTATTGGCATTTGTATTTCTTTTCTTTTTTTAAATTCTCTATTCATGTCCTTTGTCCATTTTCCTATTAAACTGTGTTTTGTTTTTTTGTTTTTTTTTTGTTTTTTTTTTTAATCAATGGGTTTAAGGACTCTTTTTTTGTTAAAGAGGTTAGGCCTTTGTATATATTTAAAACATATTTTTTTCTTAGTATGGAGTTTGCCTCTAAACTTATTTATAATGCTTTTGAATCCTCCAAAACAGTTTTTTTTAAAAAAATAAATATATTTTTGATTGGCTGCCTCCTGCATGTTGGACTGAGCCCGCAACCCATGCATGTGCCCTTGACCTGAATCGAACCTGGGATCCTTCAGTCCACAGGCTGATGCTCTATCCACTGAGCCAAACCGGCTAGGGCCAAAACAGTTTTTAAGTAGTCAAATTGATCTAATTTTTACTTTATAGCTTAGGTTTTGTATTAAGCTTATGAATGTATTTTCTACTCTGAGATTAACATAAATATTCCCATGTTTTCTTTAAGTACTTTTATGAATTTTGTTTTATATTTGATGCACTTGATTAATGCACTTAGTTTATTTGTGTTAAGGAGTGAGGGTAGGAATACAGCTTTCTTTATATTGCAAATAATGAGCCAGATGCTCCAAGTTATTTTAATTAACCAATCTCCCTCTCTTCCATTGATTGGAATACTGCCTTCATTTTGATGTAAATTTCCACAAACTTTGTGTCTTGAGGTTATTGATTCTTTTTTTAATTAAAAAAATTTTTTAAATTTAATTTTATTTTATTGATTTTTTACAGACAGGAAGGGAGAGGGAGAGAGAGTTAGAAACGTCGATGAGAGAGAAACATCGACCAGCTGCCTCTTGTACACCCCCTACCTGCAACCAATGTACATGCCCTTGACCAGAATCGAACCTGGGACCTTTCAGTCCGCAGACTGACGCTCTACCACTGAGCCAAACCGGTTTTGGCTGAGGTTATTGATTCTAAGGTGCACTGTTGTTTTACATGGAGGAGGGTTTTTCCATCCTGGGTTTTTAGCAGGCCTTGTTGCGATGTTCCTTGTTTGTGATGTTTCTCTTTGGAAACTGAGGTTCTCATGCTATGTAATCAGTGTAATGGTATCTTTTCCTGGGTAGGGTATTCTGGAGCTAAGGAAATGCTGCAGAGCTGGTCCAGTTTCTTCTTGTGGAGGATATACCCAATGACCTCTCCTTTCCTAGACCTTGCATCTAACTTTTGCCACAATACCCATAAGAAGATGGATTAAAAAAAATCAAAGCCAATTTTTTGTCTGAACCTGGACTCAGTGAGCTGAGCCCCCCACCCCTCCCCACTCCCCACCTTCCCAGAGTCTGTAGTTGAGAAGAGTCTGCCCCTTGTTTCATGAGCTTTCCTGTGGCCTGTGAACCATTTATTTTCAGAATGAAAATGTTTAGATTCCTGGGCACATAGCCTTCTGCAAGCAACGTGAAGTAGGACTTCCTTTGAATCTGTTGAAGGAATTAAAAAACACACACAAAAAACCTTGCTGCTCTTTGCCCCATTGTTCCCAGACTTTAGTCCAGGGGTCCTCAAACTTTTTAAAGTGGGGGCCAGATCACGGTCCCTCAGAGAGCTGGAGGGCCGGACTATATGAACTACTAATTCCTACTGTAACACCTCGGCTGCGCTCACTGCCCAAAAAACCTGGCGGGCCGGATCAGACTCCTCTGCGGGCCGCATGTGGCCCGCGGGCCGTAGTTTGAAGACGCCTGTCTGTGAATGATTTAAGGTTAGACTGTTCAGCCTGCTTCTCAAACTCTATTCCTGTCACCATTGTTTGAGCTCTTAAATTAATGAGGGGGATCCCCATTGTGGGTTTGAGGAATGGAGTATGGGAGGAAAACTCTCGGATTGTCATTAAATCATCACAATAATCTGCATATCCAGATTAAATTATTTGCCCAGTTACGTACTAGTAATTGCAGGGCTGGGGGTTGAACCAATGTCTGTTCCACTCCAAAATCTGTGTGCTTTTCCTTGTACCAAACTGTCTTCCAGGGACAAGTTTTGAGGTTTTGGTGGCAGATGAAAAGGATTCTTTCTTTTTAATTATAAAAATCTCCTTTAATTAAAACATTTCATTCATCTAATTAATAGATGCATTGCCAATACATTTGCTTCTTTTTAAAAATTAAGATTGTTTTTCGAGCAGTTTTAGGTTCACAGCAAGATTTTCCATGCACCTCTGCCCTGATACATGCATATCTTACCCTTATTCTGAACAGCCCAGGTTATTCTCTATTAAATTCAGATTTATGAAGAATAGTAATTTTATTCATGTTTAAAGTCACTCTTTTTAAGGGTATAGTTTGATGAATTTTGATAAATGCATACAGTCATGTAATCACCATTCTAATAAAAACAGAGAGTATTTTAATCACTCCAAAAAGTTTCCTGTGCTATTTTGTAGTCAAGCCCTTCCTTCCACTCCCAACACCCTGGCAACTATTTCTGATTTCTGTCCTTGTACTTTTGTCTTTTCTAGAATGTCATATAAATGGAATCATTCTGTAGATAGCCTTTTGAGCTTGCCTTCTTTCTCTTAGCATAAAGCTGTG